CTGAATTCATTCGCTTTCCCCCAGTCCTTCAGCTCCGTTGGCAGGAATCCATCCAGAGGACCAGCCCTTCCAGTGGAGTGCATCAGAGGGAGTGGGAGAGAGATCTTAGAGATTCTGCCACTGCTCTCCGGTGTCCTTGGACATGTCTCCCTTGTGGGTTCGACTTGGGAAGTGAGGTAGAAGCCTGGAGTCCTGAGGCCTTGCTGACAGTCCAGACCTTCCAACCCCACACCCCGCCATCCCTCTCGCAATGGCGTGGCTCCTCAGCTACAGCCAGATCCTAGAAAAGATGCCTTGTCCTCTTTCCTGTACCCCGAGTTTCCGATCCTCTTGCAGCACACAGACTTCTCCGGAAGGGGCGCTGGGCACCCACAGATGGCCGGCTCCCGCCCCGCTTCGGAGACTGCGCCTACCTGGGTGGGAGGTGCGGAAACTTTTCTGGGAGCCTAGGATTTCCTTCTGTCTGTGGAAACCTGTGAGCATCGGGAGCCGCTTCATTTAGGATCAGTCACTGGCTTCCTCCTCCGGCTTAGCCTCCTAGGTTCCTATTTCCCACTTGGACTCCGGTGGGGTGGGGCCGCCAAGTTCCAGAGAGGGGGCTCCCCAGGCTCGCTGGCGGTGGGCGGCCTCCTCCTCGGGCTCGGCTTTCCCAGACGCCCCCTCTTAGCCCTCCCCTGGTACTCTTTCCCTGCTTCTTTTCTATCCTTTCGCCGGTTTCGTTTCCTTTTCCATCTCTCCACCATCTCCTTGCTATCTCTCCTCCCCACCCTTTCTCTACCTTCCCTTCTTTAATGTTCTCTGCTCCCTACCTTCCCTCACTCCTCGGGTCCTGTTTCTTCTCTCCCTTTCCATCCCCCGTCTCTTAATCCGAGGAGGAAGGAAAGCTCCTGGAGGAGGGTTCCCTCCTCAAGCCCTGTCCTCCATCCGACTCCTCTGCCAATCTTCCTCCCCTCCCCTCCCATTTTCCCAACAGCTCGGACTCTTCCACCCCAAGAAATCCCGGGAGCTCTCAGAGGCGGCGGGCCGCGCCTATCCTGTATCCCCGAGCTGCGGCTCAGGGTCTCCTCGGGTGTACATCGCCTCTCCATCCAGTTTACTCAAAGTCTCCATCTTCCTGTGCCTATGAAAGGTCCCAGCCGAACCGTACACCCAGACTTCTCTGCTGTAAAAGGGGACGGGAGACCCCGGGTCTGACAAACCCATCTGGTGAGGGGCTGGGGACAGTAAGGGACTTGTAGTCCGAGGCAGACAGATAGGATCTGGGTGTTTCCAGTGGTCTTTGTTACTCTCGCTGCTCCACTTGTGGCCCAGAGACCAGGGAACCGGAGGACAGCTGGCCGGCGCCCCGGCAGCCTTCTGACTGTTTCCATGCTCCTAGGAGGCTCAGTCGGGTGACATCCGCGGGCTGAGGGGCCCTGCCTTGTTCCCTTACACTGCCAGACGACTCACAGGCTCCAGGAAATGTTAAACCCAGCCCGTGCGTGATCCTGGAGCGCCCACGGCCCGCGAGCGCTTCCCCCGCCCGGCTCCACAGCTCTCCCCGCCACGCACGCTTGCTCGATTTAAGCGCGCACGCACGGAGCCGCGCGGTCCCGCCTGTGCACCCAGCCACCCCCACTCCGATTACCAGATCAGCCAGGTACCCCATCCTGCGGGGGGGGGCTCCTTTCGCTGTCCCCTTTCTCGCCTGCGCGCACGCACGCGCGCACCCTCCCCGCGCTCCCGCATCGAGCGGGGCGGGGGGCTCCGGCTTGGGGAATTGGTGGGGAGGGGGACGGGAGCGGGGAGCCCCGAGCAGAGTCTTGGGACCACCCCTGGTTTGGCTGCTGCGCGCCGCCTCCCTGCGCGTAGGCTCCCGGTGGAGGCTCCCGGGCTCACCCCCGGCTCCGGAACGCGAACAGTTGGATATGAAAACACTTCACGCCGCCGCCGCCGCCTCCGCCTCCGCCTCCTCCTCTCCCGAGACCCCTCTACCTCCCCGCGCGCCATCTCCCGCTCCCCAGAACAGCCTGGAAGAGTAAACCCACCGACACTGCCAGGAGCGGCTCCCAACTCCTCACCAGGGAGCAGGATTGGCGGCTGGATTTTGGAGCGATCCCGGATTGGGGAGGGGAGGGGATCTGTGGCCAGTTCTCTCTTCCTGGATCTGGCTTGATTATTCGCCCCCCCCCCGGTCTTTGAAAAAGAGGATTTTCTTATTACCTTTCATCATCATCATCATCATCATCATCATTTCCAAATTTTCTGGAGGACGTCAGTGAGTGGGGGAAAGATCTTGGGAAAATATTATTATTATTATTTTTTAACAACCACCACCACCACTACCAAACACCGAAGGAGCATTTCTTCATCTTTCTGGGGTTTTGGAAATCACCACCCTCCCGCTCACCCCGCGGTGGACGAGAAGAAGAGGGAACGAGAGGGGAGCCGTGCGCCAGGACCGGCGAGGCGCGCCAGCCCCAGCCGCCTCCTTCCCGGCCGCCCCCCCCCCCACTCCCGCCACACACTCGCGCTCTCCCTCGCTCGCTCGCTCGCTCTCCGGCGCGCGCACACACCCCCTCCCGCGCACCCCCCCGCAGGACCGGCACCTCGGCGGGCGCCACACACACGCACACACACACACACGCACACACACACGCACACACACACGCACACACACGGCAGTCCCGAGCCGCGGTAGCCGCAGCGGGATGGAGGCGGCGCGCAGCGAGCGCCACCCAGGCTGGCCGCGGGCGCCCCTCGCCCGGACCGGGCTCCTACTTCTGTCGACGTGGGTCTTGGCGGGTGCCGAGATCACTTGGGGTACGACGGGCGGTCCGGGGCGCCTCCCGGCTCCCGCTTCTCGGCGGCCGCCGCCGCCGCCACCGCAG